AAGGGATTTCTGGCATTCTATTCCTTCCATGATTTCCAATTTGGGGGTCTTTCTCCCCTACAAATAACTCTCTAGGATGTGTCTGTGCAGCTGTTAGGGCTTACCAAGGCAGCAATAGAATAACCTTGCTATGACTCCAGTTTTATAATTTTTCTCATTGTTGCTGTTAAAGCTGGCAGAAGACATGTTCTTGTAACTTAACTCAGCAAGTCACATCCATAACTGTAGAGAATAATTGCCATACGCAGCGCCCTCACAAAGAGTGGGTGCTAAGTAGAAAATGTTGAGAAGCTTTATCTGTTTTGCTTTAGAGATAAAAACCTTAAATTTGATAGCATAGAGATGCATTTTAAAATATATTTCCAGTAAACTTTCAGCATAACATAAGTGCTCAATGGAAAATGATCTGAGTATACTCAGTGTATGAAAGCTACTATCTCTGCTTTATGGTTAAATGTAAAAGCAAGAATCATTTCCAGACAGTTGGGGTTTACTTGGACAACTGTAGTGTTGCCCAAGGTGGTGTTATTTCTCAGTTTAACACCTCCTGAAGCTTGTTCAGAGCTTAAGTATAACATCCTTCATATTAGAATAGTTCCTACCATCACCACTAGTATTTGTTTCTAACCAGAATGATCAAAGTTCGATGTTGGGGGGCAGGTACTTTTTTTTAGGGCTGTTGCACGTGGTTCAACATATGCCTAATTCTCAGAAAGCACAATTCTTTCATAAAGTGGGCAGATTTTATGGGAAACTGTGCATGCTTGTAACTTTGAAATTCTGGTAATTTTTATCAGGAGTAGTGTTTTGTTGATTATAATTAGGTAATAAAGAGCTAATTGTTTACTGGCAAGTGTGAGTAGCGTTTACTACTGTGTTATCCAAATAATAGTATGAATAATATTATAAGCAGCCTATTGAACCTTGTAGGCTCCTTGAAATGGAACTAGTCACTTACTAGACATTCATAAATCATTTATTAGCTTTCTATTGCCTTTCAAACTTTAATATAAAAATACCTTAAAAACCTTTTGTATTAATTATAACCTGCCGGCTAAGGATTCTGAGCTGTTGATTTATTTAGGAATTATGATTCTGATTTAGGGTACTGAAATAATAACTTTTATGGCATTATTTAAAACCCTTTATCCTCTTTAAAAGCTGCTTTTAGCTTATTCTATTTGTTGCAGAGCAGTAAACTTGACATGCAGATACTTTAACGTCGATCTCTGGAGTGAAATGGCATGTTTGTAAATGGAGCAGTAGAAGGACAACAATAGACCCAGTAGTAGCTCTGAGAAGTACATTAAAATACAAGCTTCATCATGTCAGCTACTCTACCATAAGGGTATTGTGCACATTACTAGTAGCTTGTCTCTGTTCACCTAACATTCAGTACTGGGTGGTGCAGGACATGTCCGTGTTTACGGCAGAGTGTATCCCAAGCGCAAGTTTACTGCAACGTCCTTGATTCAATAGGTGAAACAAAAAACTTTTCATTTTTGTGAACTGTATGCATTTCTTAGAACTTTGAGTATGGTTTTTCCCTTAAGTTACTGGTTAGTCTTTCTCACAAGTGATGTTTTCACATAAGGCAATACCAGAAACTATTTTAGATTGGTTTTTGGGGACTGATTAGACTGAGTATGCCTGGAAGTCATAATTTGAAAAGGGGAAATAAAGAATTGCTAATATGTGTGAAATTATCCTCAGTGTGGTGGGTAGCTGATGTTCTGGCTTTGTGCTGTATTTCCAAAGTCATCACTTGTGTGTTTCTAGGCAAGTTATTCCTTACTGAAGCTTTACGTCATTCTTTTCTGTATGCATAGAGGCATATATAGTTTTTTCACTTGGAACTTTTATGTGCGTGTTTAGGAAATGATTGACAAAATTAAAATGGAAGGCTGCATGAGCAGGTCTGGACCGCCAGACTGTAAGTGCTCTGGAGCTGGAATTGCCCTTTGTTTTGAAACTTTGAGATGTTCTTATACTCTAAGCTGAAGTACCAGTTAGCTTTCATTATGAACACAAATAGTACAAAACTAGGGTATACTCAGGAAAATTGCAGCATTTTTCACTTAAAAGAATTGAAGGATTCCTTAATAAATATATAGAAAATGGAAAATGCTTATAATTGTGTGTTGAGTACAAATAAGTATCTTTAGAACTTAACAGCTTCTAGCGTTTAATTTCCTACTTCTCTATTAATAGACATGCCTTTAAGAGTTAATTTTTTTTTCCTTGCTATTGGTGACCATCACTTTTTATGGACAGATATTTATGTTAAGTCAAACAGAAAACGAAATGGGTGGTTGGTAGAACATAAATGTTTTTCCAGTCATCCTTTTCATTAATGCTGTCAGTTACAATAAAGATAAGCTACATGCTACACCTCTGAAGCAGATCAAATCAAGCCTACATGATTTTACTAACCTTTACTGAAATTTACTTGCTGAGGGTCATAATGGAGAAACTGCTTTGCTGGCTCAAGCGAGTTTATTTGATCCACATTTCTTCTCCATTTTGAAACAGAATTTGCAGGAGTATCTAGGTGTTAAGAAAAGATAATGGAACACTGTTGCTGTTGCTTTAGTGTAGAATTAACTTGCATTATACTTCTATTTTAGGGACTTTTACCATTTTATCCTTTGTCGGAAACCCAGGATTTTAAAAAACTGTCAATAGGATGGTTATGAAATAAAATGAAATAACCTCCCATTCTTCCTGTGTTCTGGCTCTTTTGCTGCATACTGTTTTAATCAAATAAGTGTTTTTTAGCATGGTAGTTCACTTAGCTCTTGTTACTTTAATTGCCAGTAACATGTTTCAACAGTATAATTTGGACAAATGTATGTGTCCTGAAACACTTCTAACAACTTCGCGCGTCTTCTGACTATTTGGTATTCAAAAAGTATGCAGCTAACAAAGATTTCTACTAAAAGCATCATGTGTTGCTCTTAAATATACTAGTCTTTCAGAAGCAGTCAGAAACATTTTCTAGCTGAAGAGATCGTATTTAAGATCTAGTGTACAGCTGAAACTTAAAATAATAAAAACTTTTTGTGGTTTATTTTCAGAAAAGATGAGGTCTGAATGTTAGATTCGGTCTGTTGTAGCTGTCTGTAATTTAAGGGGAAGATTAATCTACCTCCTTAGTTGAGTTAGACTTTCCAGACAGGTTATGTAAGAGCTAGTGTGTTTTCCTGCTACATACTTTTTTGAAAAATATGAGTTGTCAATTTTAAAAATAGAATTAAACATATTGTTTACAAATACGTTGTGTAATCAGAGTAATTCTAATGCTTCAATAGAATGTTTAAGGAACGGGAGATTTTTATAGTGATAACGCATAGATACTAAAACTCTAGGACTGTTTCTATGAACATTTATGTGATACTTCTTTTTGAAGAAGTCTCAGCATAATAGACTAGGCAGGTAGATCAACTTTACAATGTATTTTATCTGAAATTTGGAAGAGCTTTAATCAGAAACGGCACAAAGGAATGTTGTCTTGACATAATGTAGCATGTAACAACACTATACTGACCTAGTTACTTGTTAAATGTAGTTTCTCATGGCATAACTCATCAGTAAAAATAATACAATTGAAAACTGTTCCATGGATGAGTTTTAGATTACCATATTAATGAGCAGTTTCAAAGACTTAACACTAAGCCTGAACTCATACAAAAACTATATTCTGAAAAATATACGTATTTTTCAAGGTATAGAACCACAGTACTTTTCTGTTCATTCATCTTTAGGTATAATGTAGTAGTGCTGTCAGGTAAGTCATATTCAGACAGGAAAAATAAAATAACCTTTAGCGCTATTCTCCAAGTAACTCAAGGGAGAATTTTGAATTTGTTTTTAAGGAGAGGCCAGGGAAAATGAATGAAATGGCAAATGGCCTAAGAGATACATGAAAACCCTTTCAGTTAGATTTACTCGCTGTATACTGCTTGTAATCAAAACACATCCATTAACTAAAGCAAAAGAATATTTACAGCAATTTTAGTTATCGGTGTTTTACTTATATCTCTAATGTGGTCTTAGAACTCTGCATTAAAGCATAAACAAGTGTACTGAAAATAATAGTGAAAACTTGAATGTTCTGATGAAAAGATACTTCTACGTTAGCACGTTGATGGAGGGGACCCTAGTTGAAATGGCATTTTGGAAATTTTACTTTAATTTCAAGTCAGGAGTCTTTGTAGCTCATATGGGTTGATCATCTGTTGTGCTATTGTTTTTATCTGTTAATGGTGATGGCCCTTCTGGCTTTTTGACTTGTAGAACACAACTGAATCTACTGTCGCTGTGGAAACCTTAGATGATGTACCTGAGCATGTGCTTAGGGGGCTTCCTGAGGATGTGAGGCTCTTCCCATCTGCTGTTGATAAGACACGGCTTGGTGAGTGCTACAACTGTGAAAAGAGAATGAAGATTTTTACACTAGCTCACATAAATTACAGTTGCTGTGGAAGTTTGGTGCCCTCCTGTGCTGGGTAGAGATGATGTCTGGTTCATTTGTCTGAAATAATTTCTGTTGGAAA